CAAACCAACAGCCAAATCCTCAAAGTCAAGTTTCCTGCTTCTTATTTTAAAAACTTAAACTGAAGCTCCTAACTGGAAGTTAAGTTCTATTTTTTATTCTTACAGTAATGGATCATCGCCAAAAAGTTTCCAGCGCCCCCTGCTTATGATTAGTCCATTTCAGTGCTTTATCAAGAGACTGTCATCATCACACAACAAACCTGTCATTAGAGGTTTAATCACTAATGTTTGGGCCCAGAGGGCTAACTTTCCAAATGAAGATGGACTTGACCATTGTTGCATTTTTAATTTTTTTGAAGATTAAAATATATTTCTGTGCAGAAATACTAAAAATATTGGCTATGACCAAAATTTGCTCTATTAGAGGAAAAACACCCCATCAGATCATTATACAGCATCAACAAAAAGATTTCCCCAGCTTGAACACTGTACTTATTTCTGCCCATTTTAACACAGGCCAAGTTCAAACAAAGAATCACAAAATGAAGCAACAACCAAATATACAGATATTCAAATTAAACAGAAGAAACAGCAGCAGCGAGAATTTCTATTTCAAGTCCTCCTGATGATGTATCAAGCATTTTCTTCCTCAAGAAAGGATACTGGATGCATAGCTGAAGCCAAATTTATGATTGTTCAAGAGGGAGATATGATTGTACGTTCTCATATGCACCACATTTTACCATCTTCTCCATCATCATTTTAAGACCAATGCGCCTTACAAAACTGCCATTATTCAGCCAACTTTTCTAGGAGGTATTTCAAAACATTTTTCTTGTTACTTTAGTTGTATAAGATGGTCGGGTTTTGCAGCTAACTTTAAATAAACCTACCAAAGGGGAACTCAAACCTTGAATTGGCACAATTTTCAACAGATATAAAAGCCACTCAAAGAACACAAATATTAAACAATTTCAAAGGAAAAGATGCTGTAAATTAAAATAATCAAAGTCGTACCATGATTAGAGAACCAACCCGAGATTATGACAAAACAAGAGGAAACTCTGCACCTTTTACAGCAGGGTTTTAGTTATTCTGACCTATAAACACAAGGTCAAGTCAAACCTCTTGTCACACAATTCAAAATGTCCGTGTAACAAAGGCAAGCCAGGAATCAATTGTGATCTGCCAAAATATTTACCTCACAAGCATTATCTACAGAAGCGCTTGGCCATTTGTACAGAGGGATTCCAGATGCACATTGAGTCGGTTTCAGTAAAAAAGTGACTATATACAAATCTATACACAGACAGAGCCAATCGTATGTTTCCAGTTCACAGATTTATCGACTTAAAAGCAGTTGCCTTCAACTTTTTGGACAAGGGACCCATCTTTAACACCTACTTGTAACATAGAGCCCACTTTTTAACTTTCCTCTTTTTCACTCCCCCCCCTCCTTAAAATAAACATCTCCCCCAGAAGAAAATGGCATTGCTGACACTAGTGCACCCATGAAAGGCTGGGATGCGTCCCACTTAAAGATCCTCGCCCAGCAGCTGAAGACCAATGACTTAAAGCAAGATACCTGAGATTTCATAACAGCTTCAGTTTCCTAACAGCAATCCTAAATATACATCTCAGAGATTTAAAAAGATACCTCCTTTGAATATGTGCATTATTGTTTCTTTTAAAAAAACTATACAGAGCTGAGCCACAATGCCCTTGGTGAGGCACCCGTTTCTGTTGCTGCCCCTTCAAGAATGTCTGTTTACTGGAGAACACACCACTGACCAACTGCGTGGCAGACCAGCATCAGAACAGGTGCCCACTGTTAAACAAACATGGCGAAGACAATACTTCAGTGGGATGATGCACTTCCTCCGGTTACCGAATACCTGGTGGAAACAGAGAGCAACTGTTTCAAAACAAAGGGGTGATCAAGGTGGTTCATTATGTCAGTACAGTAGACTTTTACTGCACTACAAAAGCCCATTTTGAAAGGGTCTCTATCAAGACAGAATCTGAATCTATCAGTATTAAGATCCCCAAATGCTACCAGCAGTCCTGTCAGTTTTAAAAAGAACTTGCTTCAAAGTTAAGAGGACTTGTGCAGTTCTTCAATTATTAAGAGCTTATTTACATGGGCATGTGAAAACAGCTGCTATTGCAATAGGATAATTGTGTGAAATGCTCATCACACTGTTTTTGGATGCAACAGTGGCTAGTGAGATCAATCAATCATTTTCAATATGTAAATTCTGTGTTGCTGTCCAAGAAGGAACGGCTTAAAACTTCTAGCATAAGGCCATGTTACGGGCACTGAAATTAGGTGGTTAAAAGCAGAAGATGACATTGGCTGAAATACACCAAGAAACTCTGCTTCAGTGTATACATTTCTTGAAAGGTCCTTCCTGGAATAATGAAGAAAAGACAGTGAGAGCAGGGCTCCCTTCCAGCCTTCTCAAACCTACATCCCATCGCATTAAATCACATCTGCAAATATGCTTCAATGCATGAAATTACTAGAAAAAGCTGACTCCATTTCTTTAAGTGTTTTGCAATTTGAAACTATAGTTCTTTACATGTCCAGTGCAAATATCCAGTTTGCTCTGGTTGTGTATTATCATCAGACACCAGTGTCTATACATTTTTATCCAGCCCTTGTGCATTTGCTGTGTCTATCTGTAACAGGGCAACATAAAATATCACTTCAGCGCCATCTCTTAAGAAGTTATTTTACCCATGTTCGGTTTTAATTAAAAAAAAACCCTAGGTGCCATTATCTAATCACACATCCCAAAGACTTAAAGGCAATTATGTTTCCAAAAGACGGGTGGAATTTCTGCCGATTCCTTCCTCTCACTGCAGACCTCCCTCCTTTGTGCTCGATGCTATTTTCTGAAGATACGCTCAGCTCCCCCACCCCAAAACAAAATTTCCAGCATTTCAGGTGGCTGCAACAGGAGGGGGGAAATCAGCATACCTCATGCAGCCTGATTATTTCAGCATCTTTGTCATTTGCTTCATTCTCTTCAGGCAGCGGCTGTGAATCCATCCGTCACAACCCTTAAGTGGGGTACAAAGCCCCCCGTGTGCTGAGTTGTGAGCCCCTGCAGAGCCGCTTTTCTCCTGCTTTTCAGAAGAGCAAGCTGCTGTTGCGCATTCATACAGAAAGGGCGCCATGTTTCCTGCAGGCAGGTCTGTCAGCAGTGGAAGGATTCATCCTTAGGACAGCAGCTGGTTCAGAGACACCCTCTACCTGGCAAAAGCTATCCCTTGCCTCTCTCTCTCTCCTCTTCCCATTTGCAAAGCTTCGCCATCTCACCAGTCAGGTTTCCAATGATCTGTGCCTGTGCTTCAATGCCCACCTCCCTAAGAAAGCTAATCTTCCACAGTGGGAGGAGGGGTTCTATACCACAAATACAGGCGAGGAGCACTGGATGACTGACAGAGATTGGGAAAGGCAAGGGAAAGCTTTTGTGAGGAGGACAAAGTGCCTACATGTGCCTGTTGGTTTGTTCCTTTCACCTCCTGAGACTCAGCTTGTGTTTTGGTCCCTGGTTCTCTGAGCCTGCTGCCCATGTCGTGGCCTCAACTAACTCAAGTTGTAATGCTGCCTCTTTCTGTTCCACAACTGAAAAGGTTGAAGACTATGGTCCTGAGAAATTGGCACACATCTAGGGTTTATGGACTGCCGCTACATCCATTCTGGCGATACATAGTAAGTTAATGAAAATCACAAGGTCATATTACCCAACCAGTGCTTTTACATTAAAAGAAGAGTCTTCCTGTTCTACTAGTAACTCTGCCTGTAACTTCGTTCTCACACAGTGTTATTCTAGAAACTGAATTGTTTGACAATAGCTACCCCCCCAAAAAAAAAAAAAAAAAGTGAAATCACCCAACAGTTGAATCAGATCTTCAGTAGCGAGCACAAGTAAACAACTATTTTCATCTGGTGTTAGAATTTATTACTCAGGTTTCTTAACTTTATTGTTTCATTAGGATTTGTACACAATGGTGAATTGTAAAATACCACTTCCCTACCATTTTGATAATCTCTCGGGATTAAAACAGTGGGAAGTTGCAATGCAAGTCTCCTACATATTTTCCCAGAGGCGTTCCTGTCTATTTTCTGAACCCCATCCATACAGAGTATACCCATGATAATTAAAATTTCGAAAAAGTTCCATGGCAAGTGCCTACACCTGTGGCCATAGTACCCGGTATGTCCAAAAGAAAAGTTATTTATTGGTACCTCTGAAGCCTTTGTACAAGCTCTGTCACCATGGTATCTGAAATGCCCGGACATGCTTCTTCGGCTAAATAAATAGCCTCCCTTAGTTCTTCTATGGATCCCATGTTTCCCCCACACGCTTCACTCCTTTCTTTCAGCTAAAAAGAAAGAAAATCAAGATTGCATTAACCATGTCACTGTGACGTACGTATGCAAACACAAATGCTTTTAAGGTGACGTTCACTGAACACTGTACACCATCACATAAACCCAGCTAAAAGAAATGTGATTCTCTGATCGAGCCTTCAGTAGGTGATAGATAAAATTTAATGGCCATCATGCAAAAGAGCATGTATGTTACACAGCCATGGGGGCCCTTTGCTCAGCAGCTCCTCCTGTCTTTCCCTTATCCCTCTTTTCCCTGCCCTGGTTGCTTTTTCAGAACTTGAGGAAGTTGCTGGGGGGGGGGGCATATGGTCGTGCAGAACCCGTTGTCTCAAAAAGGACAGTCCCTAAATTAGCTCTGACTGAAAGAAACAGGCCTATTCAGTCACTGGCATTATTCATCCGCACAGGGCATTAATAACCACACATCAAGCAAAGTACCGAAATGCACAGCAAGCAAACGTTGCACATTTTCACGTTGTTTCTGCATGAGGAAAGATGCTCTGTTATTTCTGCCCCATTCCTTGCCCAAGACCCCAACACCGGAAGGACAGATCAAAAGATATCCAGCTAAATCACAAACATCCAGCTAAAGGTGATACATAAAACCGCTCTGAAAATATGAATCACAGGGATGGTTGGCCATAAATATGTGCTCCACTCAACAATTAGTGTTTGCTCTTCCTCTCCTCCCCAACTTTGAGTACGGGAGTACAAATTGCACTAAAGCAACTGGAACTACAGAAACTATAGTTTACTCTTCCAAGCTCTAACTGCAAGAGGGTAGGAAGGGTCACCTTACCACTGGAACCCTGTAACACTGCCCCCCCCCCAGCCATTCTGCCACAAAGCAAGCAAGTAGGAGAAAAAGAGGGGAAACAAGCATATGCCATTCTCACAGCACCGGACTATGCTGGGGAAACTCATCTCTCCACCACACCTGGGTCCAGACCCAATTAACAGCACCTTCTTTCCAGTTCCCAACTGCCATCCAGAAGGCCTCTGGAGGGGCTACAGCTGAGAATCTCAAGAACCCAAGAACATTTTCTCTGAACTTTCACTGTATTGGCTCCCAAAGTGGCTGGACAGAAAATTGAAAGTAAGTAAATAAAAGTATGAGCAAAACCTTTTACTATGGCGATTACTCCTATGGCTGCCTGCTGACCTTAAAGAGTTAGGCCGGCAGACCACCACCCCCCAGCTGTGCTGTGTATGCCCTAGGCAGTGGGCAGGCTCCAATTCTGACAACTATTTCAATCTATTCAGGCTGGAGTAATCAAAACACATTTTTTCTCTGCTTATTTTTTATATCCTTCCATCAGATTAAACCATATTGGATTCATTTGCTTGCAACTTCAAACATCTCTATACAGCCCTAAACAGATGAGATAACATAAAGCCAATAATAGCTTACCTCTGTGAATAATGGTGATATAATTGTAGATAAGCACCGAGACAAAGGCCGCCGTTGAATAGTATTTTCCTTTAGGAAAAAAATTCCACAATAAATTGCGTAAAAATGCTTTCATTGACAAGTTAGCCAGAAGTAGTGTTTAAACACCTGAAATTCTACACAGTGCTTACAAATAACTACAAAATCCATTAGCATTTAATATGTTGAGGTGAAACAAGAGTTCTAACAATTACACTATAAAAATATGAGAAAACGCTGCTACTTTAAATAAACATTGGCCCCGGTCACACGGCAACGTTGCCGCGGGAGAGGCACGGATGGTGGGCGGATTATCCGGGCGTGATCACACCCCAACATCTGGGAAGTGGAGCGCACCCATGGCTTACCGCCAAAAATGCATGTTAAAAAAGTAGTACCTCCAAAGTATTAGCAAACGTTTGCCACGGGCTGCCTCCAGACTCCCTTGGTGTGATCGCGCCAGCGCACGGCATTCCCCTCCGGTCCCTCGTTTACCCGCCGGCACCGAGGGAAGGACCCGTAATGTGCCGCCGGCGCGTCTGATCGTGTAATCGCGGATCAAACCACGCTGGGGCAATTAGCCACACCTCCCCCCTCCCCCGCACGATATCCGGCCCGTGTGACCGGGGCCATTATATAGTAAACAATAGTCCAAAGTTATGAATACATCAACTATGTATTATCAAGAAAATTCAATGAAAGAAACTGCTACCTGATGAAACTTTAGGAAGGGGTTATTCTATTATTAATAAGAAGGAAAAAAACAGGAAGCTGCTACAGGAACATCTAAAGCATTTGAGTAAATGGGCCACCAAATATGTATGGGGACAGCCCACAACTGTTCCACTAGTGCCACATCATGATGTGCCTGCAGTGGCAGCCAACCTAGCATGTTCTGCCACCCTAGGAATGTATATATACACACACACGAGCGCATCAGCAGCTGGTGGAGCACTGCACAAAACTGTTATGTGGCCCAGATTTGAGCAGACACTCAAGGCAGGATTGTGAGCACTTCATCTAAAAAACATCCCAAATACATTACAGCCACCACTACTTAAGCACAATCACACATTACAGCCACCACTACTTAAGAGCAATCTACAGCATCTGTCCTTGGATCCCAGGAGACTTGACATGCTTGCACAGAACTACCACCAATTTTTCCTTCCAGTTGCAGCTTCTCACACTGTGTCATGCTGGCCTTTATAAACCAGGGGGAGGACAAGATGCAGGGCTGTTGGAAGGAGAGTACAAGCGGTCTGTGTGCATACAACCAATCAAGCCCACAGATCTCTGAATCCCAGTTCAGTACTTTGTTTGCATTACCATACTGAGAGAGGGCTGGAGCTGCCCTGACCTGGATAGCCCAGGCAAACCCAATCTCATTAGATCTCAGAAGCTAAGCAGGACCAACCCTGGCAAGTATTTGGATGGGAGACTGCCAAAGAATACCAGGGCCAGGACACAGAGGCAGGCAATACCAAGCCACCTCTCTGGAGTGTCCAAGCCCCCCCCCCCCACTAGGGGTTGCCAGAAGTCAACCATGACTTCCACGCACGCACACACACACACAAAATACTCAACCCCACAAAAATTAAAAAGCAATTAAATGCTAGAATTTTGACCATGTATAACAGTCGCAGAGTCTGCATGACCTAGAACAAACTTCCAAAAAGACATCAAAGACATATCTGTTAATTTTTCACAGCTTCTAGTTTCTCACAATGCCTGTAACGTAAATGTTACCTTGTTTCTCTCCCACTCGTGTAGCTGAGTAGCTCCATTCTCTAGATTCTTGGGATCTTTCTCTCGGATGGTGAATATCCAGTCACCTGAATCGCTACCACCTGAGGCTTGGCCATCTGTTTCTCTTCAACAGATAAAGTTAAGCCGTTATTACTAAATTTTAATTCAGCTGATTAATTTTATTTATTTGTTTGATTGATTTATTTGGATTTATACCCCGCCCTCCCCACCAAGGTAGACTCAGGGCAGTTCACAATAAAATTTGAACAAGTTTAAGAACAGATTAAAACCATAAAACATTTCCAAGGTGCTACATAAATATTAAAAAATTATTGCACATGCGGCGACGGACATAGCAGCGGATGATACAAAGCTGGCAGTCTCCAGCCTGAGTATTATAAGAGCAACACAAGATTAGTTAGAACATTTTCTTTTTTTCTTTTTTCTTTTTTAAAGTACCCATAGGTACACTTTTATTATTTTTTTTTTAAATCTTCAACAAATCTACACACTACAAACAGACACTCTACTACACATAACATGTATACCAAGAGTACAGTTACATTATATGCTTATATCCAATTAATTAATAGAAACGCTCTATCACTTTCCATTCTTCTGTCTTCTGTGTTCTCAAGTCCATTGTGCCATAATTGCCTAATCTTCTATTGTACTTACATTATACCAATCATAAAACTTTTTCCATGTTTTTTGAAATGTCCACTCTTTGCTTAATCTCATTTCTAAAGTCAGTTTATCATTTTCTGCTGTTTCAAAAAGTTTATTCACAAACTCCTGTTTTGTTGGTATCACCATAGTTTTCCAATATTTGGCATATAAAATTCTTGCAGCTGTCGTCATATAAACAGTCAAATACCTATTCTCTTTTTCATAATCATTTGGAAATATATTCAACAGCAAGACCTCTGGAGTAAATGGAATCTTTGCTCTTAGTATCTTCTCCATCAAACTATGGACCCATTTCCAAAACTTTTTTGTAACATCGCATAGCCACCACATATGATAAAATGTGCCCCTTTTACTCTTACATTTCCAGCATTTATCAGAACAGTTAATATTTTGCTTAGCCAGTCTATCAGGTGTAATATACCATCTATAAAACATCTTATACATATTCTCTTTATATGTTATAGCATTAGTCATTTTAATATTTTTCTCCCAAATCTGCCCCCAATCTTCCAGATTTATAGTATGCCCTAAATTCTGAACCCATGCAATCATATTATTCTTCACAATTTCATCTACCATTGTATCATCCAACAAAATTTTATATATTTTCTTTATCATTTTACTATCTGCTGTTAACATAACATTTTCCAGTTCGGTTATTTTACA